ATACTGAGTTTCCCACATTACTTCAGTGCCTGAAATTCAGGCAGCGGCACCAAAAGCATCAGTGGAAGCTCCCTGTACAAGCACTGTTGGAGCAGACTGGCTTGGATCCAGCCAGAGGTCCCCTCAGCCCCTGGAGGGGTTTGCAAAGGACCTTCCAAAACATTGGACTCTTCCCAAATTGCACGAGGAAAGAGCAGTCACCTCTCCCCAGCCCGGGGCAGGATCTCCAGAGCACACAGACCTGTGTGAGGCTCACTCTTGTGTTTCTGTGACAGCAGGGTGCCACTTACCCAAGGGGGAATGGGTGCTGTGGGGACAGCTGGGTGCCCCAAGGATGATTCCAGGTCACTCAGATCCAAGTGGACACATCCAGCTCTGCAGAGGTGGCCTCACTCCCAGCTTTACCTAAAAATCAAGTGTCACCTGGGGGATCAAAAAGGGTCCACAAGAGCTGAGAGCAAGCTTTTGGACAAAGCAAAAATTTGTTCTTTCGGGGGAAAACCGGGGAGGGAAAACTTGTCTTTCAGGAGGTCCTGAAGCACATCTCAATTTACAAGCCAGCCTGCAGCACGTAACAGGTCTCAAACATCTGCTTTTGAGGAAAAGCTGAACTCCTGCACATCCCTCCCACTCACCGCACTCACTACAACATCTAATAAACCCCGAGTTGCTCAGCACCCATCAAACCTGCCAAAATATCACCGTTTCGAGCCTGAAAATTCCAGATCTGTAGGAAAGGGTTAGGGAGACAGTAAATTAGGCCCTGCACGGAGGGCTCTACATGGGAAGCTAATGACCTTTTGTCTCTCCTGTCTGCAGACGGGCCTCATTTGCATGTATGCAGTTGGAATAATCTCGCCCATATTTCAAGCGTGTGGCTGCATCCCTGTGCACTCCTCCAGAGAGGTTCCCTCCCACTGTGCATGCCATTATCCCGGTGCAGCCACTTCAGGGCCGCCTTTAAAGCCACCTAGACACCAGCCAGGCTTCTCCAGCCCCACGGGAGCCTCTCTCTCCAAAGAGAGGTTTGAGGCCCCACACGTGAGAAAAGTGAGAAACCCCTGATGTGCCAGGAGTGAGGGGTCACTGGGAGCTGTGAGACCCCGACAGCACTGCCCACACCTCGGCTTTGGGGGGCATCCCTGGGCTTTGGGGGAGCTGCTCCGGCGACAAACCCCTGTCCCTCTCTGGGAACCAAGATTTTGGGTTGATCTAAGGTTGATGGAGCCCAAGTATTTTACCAGATCCCTGTGCTGCAAGCTGAAGCCTTGGGATTCCCTTTCTTCAGTGCTTTGAGGGTAGTTTTGAAGCAATTCTGAAAGATGCAGGTTAAAAACGTTGGAGGTGGGAAATGTGGGTGTCACTTGAGGTCTCTCCTCACATCTCCCTCTTCACAGCAGGGATCCACTGAGCAGGATCACAGAGATCCCCACAGCAGGATCACACAGATCCACTGAGCAGGATCACAGAGATCCACACAGCAGGATCACACAGATCCACTGAGCAGGATCACAGAGATCCACACAGCAGGATCACACAGATCCACTGAGCAGGGTCACAGAGATCCACACAGCAGGATCACACAGATCCACTGAGCAGGGTCACAGGGATCCAGAGAGCAGGAGCACAGGGATCCACACAGCAGGATCGTGGGGGTCCACTGAGCAGGATTAGCCCCAGCTCAGACCAATCCAGATTGCAAAAGCCGGAGCAAAGCAATCCAGGTCCCCTGGAGAACTCTCCGTGCCAGCACCACGAAACGCTGAGCGCTGGTGTCCCCCCACCTCCTTCCCAGCCCTTTCCAAGGCTCCCAGCCTTAGAAATAAAACCCCTCTCGTTTGTGCTCACATCCCGCTCCTCTGAGCCCCAGGAGCTGCTCTCAGCCCCTCTCCCTGTGCCAGGATCGGGCCCGCGCGGGTGCGGAGCGGCTCTGCTCACAATCAGCATCTCCCGGCCGGGAGCTGGGGAGGCAGAGCCGTGGCAAACACAAGCCCTCAGACAGGCAGAGCTGTCAATCCGGCCCCGATCCCTCAAAAGATTGATTAAGGACAAAAAAAAACAAACAAAAGAGAAAAGAGAACTTATGGACATGAGCTGAGAGGCGGGGAAAGAGGGGAGGGGAAATGAGCCGGGCCAAGTTAAAATTCCGACAGAGAAGTTGCAGCTCAACTATAGAGTCTAGACAAGCATTCACAGCCCCGGCCCCGATTGTTATAGAGCCTCTATTGTCTTAATTAACCATTTTAGCTGCAATGGAAGCAGACAAACCTTTTCTTCTCCATCCCACCCCTCCTCTGCTGCACACTCATGCAGACAAACACCACCGAGTCAAGTGCTTTGATTTAAAAACCCCCTCGGCATATCCACACACACCTTCTTTCGAGGCAGAGCTTTTTGCAAGGTTCGTTGAGAAAATCGCTCGCCAAACAAGCAAAAGGGGAGAGGGGCGAGCTGGAGGTGGGGAAAAAAAAAGAAATGCAAATCCTGACGCAACATGAATGGGAACAAATGGGTTGATTCTTTTAATCTCCTAATGTGCTTAATAAAGCATTATTGCAATGCAAATTTTATTTTAATGCTGTACATATTTTATTTGACATGCTGGTAATTTTAGTTGGCTGAACAATCCGCTGCTTTGTTTTACCGAGTTATTTCTGTTTGGGGGGGGGGGGGGATATTTTTGAGGGTGTCATGGGACTTCTGCCAATCGATACCCCCTGGGAATCTCTGCAGCGCTCTCTTTAGAGGCTTAAGCTAAAATAAATAAATAAATAAATAAATAAGAGGGCCAAACTCTCCTCTCATGACCCCGGTAGAAAGGCAGGAGCAATCCAGGAGCACGTCTTTCCCCTCTCTCTGAACCCTCACGAGCCCCACAGACTCTCTTTACTGGTCCCACACTGCCTTGCTGTAATTCCATCCCATTTGCACTGATTTCATGGGTTCAGTGGGAAAAGCCTGACCAGCAAAGCAGGTGGTTCCCCTCTCTGAGCACACCAGTGTGAGGTTCTGCCCTGGGTGCCCAGGGGAAGTGCCTCAGTGCAGAGCCCTGCCCTGTCCTGAGATGCTCCAGCCCAAACCAAAGCCAGGGAAGAGCCTTCCATTTCTGCACCCAACCTGCTCTAGAGTGGGTTTGGGATTTGCCTGCTCAGGAGGGGGTTTGCATGAGGCATTCCCAGTCCCTGGCTCATGGTGGTGTTAATATTGTTAATATTGTCCTTCCCTCACCGAAAGCCCAAACTTGGCATCTCTGCAGAGACACTGTAGAGCAGCACCAGCTTCCCCTAAAGAAATCAGGGGGTAGAAACAGTTTGAGAGTGAACCTTGCCCTGAATGGGGTGTGGAATCTGCTCCATTTCATGCCAGCGTGTGTCAAGGTACAAACCTGATTGCCAAAGAGAGAAATTAGTGCCAATTATAATCACCGTGCTGGGCTGCAGATCTCTAATGGAAAACTGTCACTGTGGAGGATAAATGCAGCTTGTATTTTATATAAGGAGGAGGTTTTTTTACAATGAGGGTGGGCAGGCCCTGGCACAGGTTGCCCAGAGAAGCTGTGGCTGCCCCTGGATCTCTGGAAGTGTCCAAGGCCAGGTTGGACAGTGCTTGGAGCAACCTGGGTTGGTGGAAGATGTCCCTTCCCCTGGCAGGAGGTTGGAATGAGATGAGCTTTGAGATCCCTTCCAGCCTCAAAACAGTCTGTAATTTTATGTAGGGAACCCAGGGACTGCTCTGCTCCACTAGGAGATGAGCTGAAATCAGGGGAAAGCCACGTGAAGCTCTTTAGGAGACGAGAGGCGCGGGTGGAAAAGCACAGAGAAGGGATGCAAAAGCCTTTCCTAAATGCACTTGTGGGGTCCTGGAGCTTCAGGTCCCCAAAGCAGAGTCTGCAACCCCTTCCCGTTTCACTGAACTCCTCCTGCCACAGCATCTCATCAGGGCAGGTCGAAGCACTGCTCTGATGGTGGGGATGGGTCCTCTGATGGAGAGGGAGAGAAGATGAGCCTGATCTTTTGCAGTGCAGAGGGAGCATTCCTTGCTGCAAGGCTGGAAATCCAGGCCCCAGGTCTGTGTGGCAGCAGATTTAGGAGCAGGCAGGAAGCTCTCCCTGTCCTCACTCAAGCCTACAGGTGACCAAGACTTTGCAGCAGCAGGTGTGGAACCCAGAGACACAAAGTGGGTCAATTGTCATCCTGTGGGGAGCAGGGACCCCTCTGCAATCAACTTCAGCAGTTCAGAGATGGTGTCAGAAAGCCTTTCAGTGGCTGATCACCACCAGGGAAAGGCTGCAGGAAGGTTTAAGGGGATTAACGTGATCCAGGAGCTACTTCCAAGAGGTTCATTCCTGCAGAAACAAGGACCCCAGAGGCTCCTCACACAAGTCCTGTGCCCTGGGAAGGGGTTGGGGAGGCCCAGAGGATGGCGAGGGTGTTGTTGCCCCCGCACAGCACACTGGAGGCTTCATCTTCGTCGAAACCCCCCCCAGGCGTGCTCTTAATGTTACCTCTCTAATAATAATAATATTTCATCTGCCTTGTCTGATTAGGTTAGGCTCATTTGATTTTTGCAAAACACCTTTAATCACCTTGCAAATTCCCCGTCATTACGAACAGAACCACCACAAACATTATCGACAATCCAGGTTTTATTTTCAGCAATCTTTTTTTTTTTTTTTTTCTTTTTTTTTTTTTATAGGCAAGAGACAGTTGTAAAAAAACATAATTTTAAAAATATGAACAAGACAGAGGCTGAGAAAACATTAACAAGGCCCTGTGCTTTCTGCTAAAGTGCCTTCATTTCATTATCATTAAATTTGCCTAGTAATTAGATTTCGGTGCATGAATATTTTAAAAAAATGTAACAGACAGCCTGTCAAAAAAAAGCACGACAACATCAATTCGATAATTTTTTAGACAGAGACATTCATAAGCAATTAACACAGATTTCCTAGGGTTGGAGACTCTTTTTCTCTTTTTTCTTCCTTTTTTTTTTTTTCCCTCTCCTTCCAGCTTTGTGTTCTTCACCTGAAATTAAAAGAAAAATAAAATCACTGTAAACATCAGCACTTTGTGCCTTTTTTTTTTTTTTTTCCTGGTTTGCTGACAAGATTCCAGCGCTGTTTTCCCCTGTCTTAGCATGCTTGGGCTCTCCTCTCCCCTGCCTCCCACCCCAGCCTTGCTAAACACGGGCAGGCACAAGGTTGGGTCATCCATCAGACCTCCCCACTCCTGCAGGACCAGATTAAATTAAGGTTGCACGGAGCTTCTGTCTTGATCTTCAGGCATTTCTGCTGAAAACAGTGATTTTGATCACTATTTGCATAATTGTACAGTTACGTGTTCCCCGGGTCCGTAATTGCACGATCCGTGTTCGACGCGGGGAGGTTCGTGAGGGGCACGTCAGGTGAAGCCAGGATGCTCCATCCCCTTCCCACAGCTCCCCCCTGCAGGTTGGTGGCCACCTGACCTCGGTGGGGGCAGCCCTCCCCACCTTGTTTTGGGTGGGGGTATCAGTCCCTGCCCTACGGCCGCCCCAACACCCTCCTGCGGGGCCATCGACCTCCCGTGTTTATCCACGACCAAAGTCCAGCAGCACCACCCTCTCTCGTGCCCATCCTGCACATTTCCAACAGGACCAGGAGGAGGAGGGAGAACAGCACATTTCCACATTTTCATCCTTTTTCCCCCCTCTTCAGAAGAACCTCACACAGAAATCCATCTGGGAACTGTTTGCTGGGGTGACTCAAGGTCTGAGCTGGTTTGGAGGTAGGGGTGGCATGGAGCAGGTTCAGTCCATGCCTGGAACTAACATAGACCCCAGAGCACATTTCCCACACAACCAACACAGTGCCACTGAGCCGGTGAAGATGCCCAGGAAGGAGCTGGTTGCTCCCCGTCGGCTTCTTTCACCTGCACGGGGCAAGTCCCTGCTCCCTCCTGAATCCTTCGTTTGGAAAGCAGCAACATTTGGGGGGATTTCCACAGAATCATAGAACCATGAGATGGTTTAGAAGAGACCTTAAAACTCATCTTGTTCCACCCCCTTCCACGGGCAGGGACACCTTCCACTAGCCCAGGTTGCTCCAAGCCCTGTCCAACCTGCCTTGGACACTTCCAGGGATGGGGCAGCCACAAGCCATTTCATTTCAGACAAAGCTTCCAAGATTCCTGGGTTTAGTCCTAAATCAGGACCAACACCTGAAATACTCTAAAAAGACTGCACATACCAAGTCCTTACTTCAGAGGAGCCCCTGGAATGCCAACAGCCCATCCAAACCCCGGCGTTGGGGCCGTGCTCTCTTACGAGAGCAACATTCTACAGTAAATCTACAGTAAATCTACAGCTCAGGGTTACTGCAGACAGGGAGCCAAAATTAACTTTTCAGGTGTTAAAGAGCATGAGCCAGAACTAAGAGGCGTGTTGGGAAGAGAAAACAATCACCAAAACCCCGAAGCCCAACTATTTGACCTAAACATTAAAAACCCGTGTCTGTGTTACTTTTGGTTGTTGCTATCATCGCGAGATCATCATCTCTGGCAAGTTAGGAATACACAAAACAGCCACACACAAAGAAAATCCTGGACCTCAACTCAGGTCATGCCTTCCTAAAATCTCCTTTGCAAGGTTTTATCGGCAAGAGCAGGGAGTAGAAGCAGTTGGTACAAGCAGCTGAAAGACCAAATCAAAAGCATGTGAGCAGATTAAAGAATCAATCTCTCCATTTGATGCAGAGGAAATCCCACTAATTATAAAGAAGGGGCTTATTTCCTGGAGTCACTCTGTTTGAAGTCATCAAAACTAGTAATACTTAATTACTCCACTTTATGGAATATATAACATGGAGGCCCTTCCCCACTCGCCAGCCCTCTGCTGCCATCCCTGCTTTCCAGGGGCTGTGGTGATGTTCCTCCTGCAGCCCTCACACGAGCCTGCAGGGGAGCATTTAAACGTGCTTTAAAAGGAGGTTATAATGAAAAATAAATAAAAAAATAAAAACAACACACCAGAGTGATTTAAGCCCTGCGAGTTTACCTGGCAATGTGTGTGTGTGCCAGCAAACTCCTTCACAACCAGGCATGGAGGATTAAACCAAACTGAGGGTTTGCCTCACCCTAATCCTTGAAAAGGAAGGGGGCTGGCAGTGGTGTGACTGAAACTCAGCCTCCACAAACCACTCAGACCTTGCTGAACGACCTTTGAAGGCCCAAGAGCAACCTGCCAGCTTCTGGTCCAGGGTTGTGTTTAGGTGACATCAACAGAGAGGGGGGAAAAACACATTCAGGTGTCTTGAGGAAATGACAGGAGGCACAGGATCTTCTCAGAACTGGGAGAAAGGCATTTAAAATTGAGGGCTCTCATTCCTCCTGTCTGCAGGTGGCTGTGGGGCAAAACCCCATCAGGATGGGCTTTGTGCAAGGGCTGACAACCCCCAGACCCATCAACCACCATGGTAAAGCTCGAGTTTCTGACACTGGGTGATTAATATGGAGGGGAATCGCAGCTTCCAGCAAAAAAAAAAATTGCAATAATCATATTTTTAGAGGTTGAGAGAAACCTTGGAAAATGTGACCCAAGAGATTCGAGCAGGGAAAGGCAAGTAAGTTGTTTTTTTGCCAGTCTTGGTGGGATCTCAAGGGGAATTGAGTGTGAGTATTCCTGAGTGCATCCCTGGCACTGATGCTGCTCCCGGGGCCTGAGGCCTCAAGCAAAGCTGTTCCTGGCAAGGAAGCAAAGCCTATGGGATCAAAATCTCTTCCCAGGATGCAGTGAGGCTCTTTAAGCCCATCACTCGTCCAAAGGCAACCTCCAGGGAGCAGTTCTGGTGAAGAGCTGCCCGTTTCCATGCCTGGGTAACACCAGATCAACCCAGGTGTGGGTTTGTCCTGCTCAGGTCTGGCTGGCTGTGAGACTTTTTTAGAATTGCTCTTTTTTTTTTCCAGCAAAGCTGGTAAATTTTGCAGGGGAAGGACAGGATCTCAGCTCTTCCTTCATCACCACCTACACACACCCACCTGGGGCTGCAGGAGCTGCACAGGCAACACCACTACGAGTGGCAATAATAAACCTTCTCCATCCTGGAGTTTCTCCCAAATAATGGAGTCCAGCTGGGGCAGCACAAGGAGATGTAGAGCCATGTGCCACTCTTTGAAATTCTGCACATACCACCAGCAACAGGAATGTCCCAGGAATGCTGCTGTGGAGTCATGAGGCTTCACAGCCAGGAACTGGGAGAGAGAAGTGGTTTTTTTTCCCCTAAGATGGAAAGGGAAGAAATCTGCTAAACCCAGGTTTGACCTGACTGGGAAGTGCAACTGGGTTCCAGATTGGTTTGGCTGGCCTGAAAAATCCCTTTTAAGATGTCTGAGCTTTGTGAAAGCCCGAAGCTGAGCACATCTCTAAAAACCCTCTACCTGCACGAGGCTCCCTGCGATTCTGCTGCCAGTGGGAGAACAGGCAGGTGTCCTGCAGAGCAGCATCTGCAGGGCAGGGATTGACACCTTGCTGCTCCTCTTGCTCCTGACTGTGCCTTTCCTTGGTCCTTTTTTTGCAGATTAGGCCCCAGAAGAGACCCAGCCCTGCAGGAGGATGGATGAGCAGTGAGGCATCCAGGCAGATGTGGGGGATGAGAGCTCTAGAGTTCCCAGCCCAGTGATGTTTGCTCCAGGTGCACAGGACTTCATGGCCCCACTGGGACTCTTCCTTGGGTTTCTCCTTTGGAGAGCAAGAATCCACCTGGAGAAGCACAGCTCAGAGCTCTCTTTGCTGCTTTGTGATGCTTGGGGGGACACAAATCAAAATATTTCCCAGAGAATTCCAGTATTTTGCCCCTTGCAGGTGGTGGGAATAGTTCAGGGAGGACCTGAAACAAAACTCTCACAACTCAGTCCCTCTGGAACTGAGAAATACCACGATGAGCCTATACTGATTTTTTTTTTTCCTCACTTCTGAAGCTCTAAGGTATCAAAGGAGAAGAATCTGCTGTGAGGTGAATGTCCCTTCTTTGCTGGCTGGGCAAGAGACCAACAAGGAAGGAATTTTATTTTATCCAAAGAGGCTTTCTAGGGCTGGACACATCCTTTCCTGCCATCTATCAAGCCACAGGCAGCAGTGGACCAGAGCCAGGAAGGAGCCCTGGGTCTCCATCCCAGCCACGAGAGCGAGGACCTGCTGCAGGTGGGAAGGAACCCTGGCTGCATCCCCCAGCAATCCTGGTAGATGGATGGACTTAACTCCCTGGTTCCAGCCCTGTCCTAGGTCAGAGCTCTGTGCTGTGCTCCCGGCAGCAAAGCACAAACTAAAAACTCAGAAACTCGGGAGCTGCTGCTGTGCCCTGAGGCCACAGGCAAGGGACCTTTTCCCTGGGCAACCTCAAAACGAGGGCTCGAGCCAAGGTGGGGTTTATGCCTGGAAAACAAACACGTCCACAAGACCTAAACCTTCCTGCAAGTGAAGGACAAGGGCTTTAAACTCTCTGCTCAGAGGGGTGGGGAAGGGGCTCCCCCTCCCCCTTGACTCTCCCCGGAGGAAGGGGCGAGCCAGTCGGCACCACCACGGTGGAGCGAGGACCTCGCCACAGCCTGGCCGAGGTCTGTTTGTCACTTTTCCTTCATTATTTGCAGTTTGTACACAGCGTCATTAGGGATTCATTCGGTTTCCCTAGCAGCAGGCATTAGTCTGGCTTCCCTTTCCCCCTTCTCTCGCCAGCGCCCTTTATTTTTAGTGTCTTATTTACAGTTTGACAGAGTAACTGTAACCCTTGCAAGCTACTCCAGCGGCTTTAATCGGGGGAATAATGAGTCCTGTCTGGCGATGAATAGAATTTAGGGGACAGATTGTTCCACACTCGCCCGGTGGGGTAATTTATTTATGTGCGCACTTGTCAGGAGGAGAAAGGGACGGGGGATCTGTATGCACCGAGGACACTGCGGGCGCTGAAAGGGAAGGGAGAATGGAGCCAAACGCCCCAGATCCCGCTGCCCCCCCTCCGCCCCTCCGGCAGCTGAATGCCTCCGGTGGCCGTGAACTTGGATGGGCCGAAAGCCCCATTCCCAGGCCCTCGGCACGTCAGCGGGGCCGCCGAGGGCCGGGGCTGCCGGCAGCGGGCTCGGGGCTCCAGATGGGTCCGGGCGCGGCGGGCAGCCCTCCCCGGCACTGCCCCGCATAGCCGCGGCGCGGGGAGCACGTCCCATAGCAACCGTACAGTAGCAGGAGCACAGCGGGGGGCTGGGAAGAGAGGCAAAGCCCTCGGAAAAATACAGGATGGGTCCAGACAATGGCCCTCTCTCATATCATAAATTACACGGCAGCAAACAAAGGGGCGACGGATCCTGCCCCCCCCCCCCCCCCACACACACACCCCCATCCACCCCTTTCCCCGCTCCCACAGCCTGTGGGTGCCGTGGGCATCCTCGGGCACGGGGGCAGCGGCGGCGTGAGGGGTTTCTGGAGGAGGGAGGTGAAGGCATTGCACCTCCCGGCCCTCGGCATCTCCCTCGCCCTTCCCCTCTTCCCCTCGAGGCGCGATTTCCTTTGCTCCTCCGCGGCATTCCTGCCTTCTGCTCCCCAGCGCTCCCCGAGCATCCACTGCCTCAGCACTGGAGTGCTCTGTCACACCGTGATTGTGGTCCTTCAGTCACTGCTGGCCACGGGCTGGATGGGAGACAAACGGCTCCTGGTCCAGAGGTGGGATGCTCTCTCCTTCTTCTGCTCTCCTTCTTTTGCTCCTTTTTGCTCTGCCTAGCTCAAAGCCAGGAGCATTTTGCATCTAGAGACGACAGCTCAGTGTCTTCTAGGAGATTGTGGGGGCTGGACCAGACTCCACTTCAGCCATGCCTGGGCTCCTGTGTAAAGCAGGACAGTGGGATCCACCAAGCTTCAGGGTCTCCTCAGCTGGGCAATGGTCCCCCTTAGCAGAGAGGATTCACCCCAAGAAAAGGCAGGAGAGATGTGCAGGGGGTCCCTTTGCATCCCCAACTGCCAGGCAGTATCAGACTGAGCCCATCTGCACTCAGACATGGAGGTGCTCAAGCTCCATCTCGATTTGTTGCCGATATCCCTTTAAAGCTCTCCCTGCTTGGCCCAGCTCCCACCCATGCTTGGCACCTCTCCTTTCCCAAATAGCCTCAAACAGAGCCCACGATCACACTTTCTACCTGAGCTTAAAGTTGCTAGCGTGGCATCAGGACACTCTGGCTCTGGCAACACCCTTTTCACACCCATTTTGGCTGCAGGGGATTTGCCTTCACCACCCTGTCAGGAGAGCCAGGACTGAAAGGGCTGCAGACTCCAGGGCCTGTTAACAGCAGCCACGTTGGTTCCCAGGGTTTTACCACTTTGGTGGTGTACTGGGAGAGATGCTTAGAGATGGGTGAGCTGCATAAATCTGGGAGACATCCAAGCAAGCACCCACACACACTTCACCCAGCCCAGGTTCCTCTCTGCAGGTGAGGATGCCACAAGGACCACAAGTTCTGGCTGCATTAGGCCCCAAACAGTGGAATCAGGAAGCTGCCAGGTGGCAGAGAGGATTAAACCAGGCAGAGAGCACTTGTGATGTCACCTCCAGGTCGTGGAGCAGAGAAGTGCCAAGTCTTCTCTGGATCTCCACTGTCTGGAGAAGAATCCATACAGTGCTTCTGGCACTTCAGCCACCTCAGCCCGGGGACCAAAGGCTGGTTTTGTCTGACCCACGGTCCCCACTGCCCAGTGCCAGGGTTGGAGAGAGCACATGGGTGTCTAGAGGGGTGGGGACAGTGTCTGCCCATACCCCCAGACAGCACCTCACCCCAGGGAACCTCCACCAGCTCCCTGCCAAGGGACACACTCAGCCCAAGAGCCTGTTCCAGGGAACACCATTCCTTTGGCAGAGAGATGGAGAACTCTCCTCACTTGGCTGAACCCAAGGCAAGACAAGAGTCCTTGCATACACCTAAAAATACGAGAAAAGGTCTTTGCACCGGGAACCTGTGGGGTTTTTTGCTGCACCAGGAACCTCTGGGGCTTTTGCTGCCCCAGGCAAGGGCTCTGTAGGGTGAGCAGCCCCTGCCCTGCTCCATCCCAGCTCAGGGGCAGAGTGGTGATGATTGCAGGGAGACCTGAGGCACGACCACATCGGGCCTGGGGAGGGGGAAAACCTCCTTGTCGGGGCACAATGACTGTCTATTCTGCTGATCACAAGCCTAATCCTCTTTGGTTTTTAATTGGCATTTGGGCTAAGCTGATTTAAACCTCTTCACCTTGTTGGGTCCCCCCCTCCCCACTTCTTTCTTTTCTTTTTTTTTTTTTTTTTCCCTTTTTTTTTTTTTTTCCTCCCAAATAACAACGCTGCCATCACCAAGTCCCCCGGCACAATGACAGCTTTGTGCGAGGGCGAGAGGAGAGGAAAGGGGAAGGGAGGGGGAGAAGGGAAATGTGCTGAACCCACTCGGAAACAATGCGGAGTTTGTGATTCAGACTTGACCACTGGCAAAGGACCCGCTTCAGCTGCGCCTCGATAATAAACACACTGTCCCTTCCCAGCACCTCTCCCCCTGCCCATCACCTCCTCCTCAGGCCAGCTGCCCACCGGTGGGGGCTCTACCTGAGGTCCCCACCCCTCAGTGGGTGCAGCTTCCCCGTGCCCCAGTGCCAGAGAGGTGCCCACGTCCCACCCCAGTCTCACCAGCAAGAGGTCCCTGGGGTGACGTTCAGCAGTGGGATGGGGACGTCCTGGTGTCCTCTCTCCACCTGTGCGTCCCTGAGCTGGTGCTGTGTCCCCACTGCTGGGCAGCAGCCCCGGTCAGCCTGGACGGACGCCGGTGCAGATCATGATCTACGTCGTGCTCCGGGCCAGGGTCTGCTGGTTGGAGGAGGAGGAGAGTGCATGTGGGATCAGCCGTGGTGAGGGGTTTCTCCTGAGGGTCCCACAAGGCAGGTCCTGCTGTCAGATCCCCGTGGGAGGGGGCTCATGGCTTTTGGAGGGCGGGGGTTTCCATATAGCCCCCACTCCTGGGTTCGTGTGGTAACGGAGCTGATCTGAGCTAAAACCAAACACAACACAAACACCTTCATTACCCCCTTTCCATTTAAAAAAAAGGCAAATAAACCTCCCCAAAGACCTCCAAGGAGCCCTTTGTTCTTGCACGTGGGACTGACATCTCTCCCAAGGTTTGGGAACGACAAACCAACAAACCCACAAGAACAGATGTTGAACACAGAACAAAATCCCTGGATGGCTGAAACTTTGGGCTGAGTGGTCAGCAAGGAAGGTGCTGGTGACCTCAGAGCTGGTGACCATGGAGCTTTAGAGCTGGTGACCATGGAGCTTTTGGCCCCTCCTTGTCCCCATGATGTGGTCGTCATGGGCTCACACCAGTCCTCAAACACTTGCCACTCGGCAGAGCGACAGTGCCTGGTGTAAGAGCTTAGGGGAAGCCTATAAAAAAATGAATTTTTTTTTTTTAAACCCACTTACCAGGATATTCCCTGTGAACTTTCACGGGGGGTCGGAGACCTGCGATTCGTCAGCCAGAAAATGAGCTTCGCATCGGATGAACTCACGTCCTCCCTGACAGGAAGAGAAAGAAAAGAGGATGGGAACACTTCAAATGTCAGTCCCATGTGCCCTGTCTGGATTACACCAGGACAGGGAGATTACAGCCCCTTTTTCTGGCAGGAAAGGGGAATAAGGAAGAGAGAAGTCAGTTGGAAAACTCTCAGC